AAAGAGAAGTACTATACAAGTCATGCTGTTATTATTGAGGTGTCTGAGTGCTGGGTGTACTGATGAGCCTGGCTTGAAGCACCCCTGTTCGAAAAGGCTCTCTAAACCTCATTAAAACATTGAGGGAAAGTCCACCCTTTTACTTCAGGTACACCTACGCTATGCCTATGTCATCTCACTTTATACTATTTACCTGGGGTACTGCTAGCTGTATAGTCTTAGCAGCATGAAACTAAATCCACAGAGCTGGGTAAATAGCCTGTACTGAGTTCTGTTGCTGGCACTGTGTTGCTATTAGTATTCAAGCTGTTTCATTTAATGCTAGCTCAGGTACATCTGTTGCAGTATAGACATACCCTCAAGCATTCCAGTAATCAAGGGAGCATAGGAATATACTAGCATTTTTCATGGGCTTGAGTTTGTTCTCACTAGCCAAATAAAATGCTTCCCTTCATTCTGTGTGTTTTGGCCTCACTTCAGTTGGTAAGCAAAAGTAACCTAGCAGTCACAAACAAGAGTAGCATTGGAGGCTTATGAGTGCATTCCCTGTTTTGAACACCCCTTTTGACCTTGTATTCATAGTTTCCAACCATGTGCTACACAGGGTACAGAAGGATGCATAAGACCTTGATCAATTTGAGGGGATCTGGGTGCATGACCTGTTGCTGCCCATGCCAGTGGGAATGTTGGCAGACACAGCATTGTTCCCACTGAATTTAGACTCTGTCAAGGGCAGTGCCAAAGAGCAGGGTCTGTGCCTAGGGGCAGGGTGGAGATAGAGGAGAAGGTTTTGTTATAAAGCACCTGTCTAGCCCAGTCCAGCTGGTAGGAGATGCTGAAAAAGTTGAAACACTATTGCCTCTTCCACTGCCCTCTCTGTTGTAGAGATCCACTTACTGTGTTGTGATTTACAGTGACACCAGCCAGTGGGAATACTCCTGCCACTTCTGTTCCTAGCTGGGAAATAGTGACAGGGTGTTGCAGGAAGTCCCGGAGACACAAGCCAGACCTGGAAAATTGCCCTGATGTCCAGTGCACCTCTCAAGGTCCACACAGAGCTTATGGGATGTGGGACTGGAACCCTCTCTTTCTGCTGTGAAGTTAGAAGCTGCCCTTCTTCCCTTCTTTCCCAGTAAAAAGATATAAGGAAAATCCTGTGACAGCAGGCAGTCATCACAGAGTCTTTATCCCTTCAGCTCCCTGTGTCATTTCTTTGTATGGAAAAGGATGATATTGTCCTAAATATTTCTTTCTCATCCAGGGTTTTGGGTTTTTTTGGTTTTTTTGTTGGGTTTTTTTGTAACCTAATATGCTTCAATATTTGCACAATTCACTGTTTCTTAGGTTAGTTCCCAGGTCTCTTACTTTCATGGTGAAGGTTTCTAGCATGGGAATGGAGAACCCATTTTTATTATCAAATGCTATTAAGCTCACTGCTGAGCATATTCCATAACCCTGGGGAAAGGAGGGAGAATAGTGACAAAATAAAAAAACCAGGGCAAAAAATATTGAGTCATATTATAGACATATATAATTCCTTAATGGAATTTACTGATAGGAACATTTCACCCTTGTTTCTCAACAAACTAACTGGCAGTTGGCAATGTTTAAATCATGTTTGATTATAGATAATCTCTAATGTCAGCCTTGGGAGTTTGTCATGGCCCTGATTTGTACACAGCCTTGTGAGCAAGGCCAAATTCAGGGTGGGAGGGCAGGGAGGTGACAGACTACTTGTTCTAGTGGGGTCAACCTTTTGGGCAGGTTTGCCACAAATTAAGCCCATGCCTCCCAAGTGCCACTGTCATCTGCTTCCCCTGCCCAATATGCTATTCTTTTTTCTGCTTCCTGTCCTGTCTGCCACTGTGCAGCCTGCCATATGCTGCACACAGAGACTGCCCATGCCACTTTTTGCACTTATGCTGTAGGTTGGCCGCCCTTGGTTTATTACAGTGTTTTATGTTAAATTATCATTGATAGATAGGTAATGACCTGATCCTACCATAGGTGTGTACTGGGTAGGGAATAAGGCCTCCCCCAGTTCTTATGGCCCATGTTAGGTTAACCCATAATGATAGGAGAATGCCGGGTTCTTAATGAGAGATCCCTCTCCCATGAAAGGGACCCAAAGAGCAGGCATAGCTGGTGGGCTTCAGAGGAGCAAAAAGGTTAGTAAATTGTTACTACCTTCATAGATGGATCAAGAATTTTGAAAAGAGAGGTAGGGCAGATGTAGCTGGAACCACAGAGGTGCCTGCAACCCCCTCCCAACTCCCTGCCCCCATCCCCTTCCCCTTGATCTACACTATGGCCATCATGGCCTGAACTGTTTGGGTGGAGTTAGAAGACATGCTGGTGTCTCCACTTCCGCACAGCTCTGGACACCTGGGTACCTCATGAAATCTGGGCAGCAGGAAGTGAGCTCAGACTATGGTGGAGGATGGGGACAGGCATAGCAAGGATGAGAAGAGGTGCAGCTGGAGGTCCTGGGCTGGTAGGGACACCTGGAGAACTGGGCAGGATGCAGGCACAGGAAGTGGGGGCACCTTCCTACCACCACTGAGGTCCCTGGCTCACCTGGGAATGCGGGGAGCCTTGGAGCTATTCCTGTCCCACTCTAGCCAGAAGCTGTGAGGAGCAGCTGCACAGGGAGCAGAGACCATTGGGTTCTTGCTTCCTGCACCTGCTTCCTGCCCCACCCCACCCCCCAGGGTGTCCCCCATTGGTCTGGGGGCTCTAGCTGCACCTTGTCCCCATCTCTGTGCTCCCCTCCCCATCCCTGCCATGGTCTGAGCTCACTTCCTGCTGCCTGGATTCTGCAGGGCACCCAGGTGTTCAGAGCTGTGGGGCAGTGGAGCCACCAGCGTGCCTTCTGAGGAATTCACTGCACTACAGAGTAGAAGGGGGTGCAATCATATCACCATACCCCCCTGGATCTTCCCTTGCCCATCCTGCTCAGTGAAACTAGGTAGGCCACACAATGAATAATCACACTGCAAATAGCAGTTTCTTTTCCGATATCAAATCACCCATTTAACTGTTTACAACCATTGTCCCCTGGTTTTGCAAGACATTTTAACATTAGCATCCAGAGGAATGATTGACGTTCCTTATCCAAGAAGGGTCATCCATTTGGTCTGGGTGCAGGAGTTACACTTTTTATCTTACTGGTGACACTTTCTAAAATGGTGGAAAATGTTTAACCAGCATACCAGGATGCTAAAAGGCATGAGCTGGTGGTTTGTAATGTCAAAACATTGTATAAAAAGCCAGAATCTAATAACATGAATGAGGGAAGACAGCACATATTTATTAACAGCAAACTATATGGAAGTTGCCCAATACAGTACTTAGATAAGTACCTTCTGTTTTTGCCTAACTTTATTTTAAAACATTCCAACTGTTTAAAACACCTCTCCCTCTATCCCAGAGCAGTCACAGAAGAATTTAGCAAGAGAAGAGATACTGTTGTCCTTTCTTTGACCCCACTTTCCAGCCTCTTGCAGTTCTGTAAGCTCAGTAATTTTTCCCTGCCTCCCTGAGAAAATTAAGAGTCTGAGCTTCACATTCAGGGATGAGGAGGCAAATCACAAGCTCTAGTTAGGAGACTGCCTGCTCTTTTAATATCTGATCCTCGTAGGTATTTGAGACAGTCAGGGCACAGACAGAAATGACATTTGTCACATGATTGGCCCCTTGAAATTGCTCTAAAGCCATGCCCAAACAGAAGAGCATGGCTGCAGAGTGCTCTCTGCACAGCAAATCAATCCTCATTGTATGAGGGTTCAAATGAAAACACTCCTAAGTGGAGTGACTTCATTAATTTCTGTCTACTCCAGCTGCAACAGCAGCCTGGCCTGAGCTGCTGTCCCTGGATGGGAGGGGGAAAAGGCAGGGGAGGGGGGGTCCCTTCTGGGGTTTTCTCAGCCCCACTGGAGTTGGGGGACAGGTTTCATAGATTGTAAGGGACTGGAATGGACCTCACAAGATCATCGGGGCCATCCCCCCTGTACTTAGGCAGAAAGACAACTGGGATCAGGTGACCCCAGAGATGGATTGGAGCCCCTCATCTGGGGGTGGGTTCCAATCTACCCCTCTCCCCACCTCCAGCAGGGCTGAGAGAACCCCAGAACAACCTTCCTTCTGTGCTTTCTCCCATCCAGAGTCAACAAGAAGCTGTGAGAGTGAAGGTGGAGCCAGGGGAAGAGACAGGGGAAGATGGAGCTTCTCTCCCTGGATCAGCTCCAAATTGGCACCCTCGATCCAACAATTAACATCTGTTGGGTCAGGAGGATTGGTCTAACTTATGGCGATTTCTATGAATTACCCTGATTTAGACCCAGGAGCTGTATTCTGTATGCACTCTCAGTGCTATCCAGGATCGAGTGCTTAGCTTCCCATGCAGGGCAGATTTTAACTCAGTGGCACTTTGTTCATAGCCAGATTGGTTCTGCTGTTTATCATCATATTCCTGTCGCCCACATGCAAAAATCCCAGTGTTGGAAATGCTGAGTATTTTTTTATGCAATCTGAGAGACCTAGAGCTCCCATAACAGCCATTACAAAAGTACAATTTTAATGAAGTCATATGTGGTTTACCCTAATTATAAGTGATATCTTTTTTCAAATTGCTAGGTCTCTTTAAACACTCTCAACAAAGCTATTGCTGGTTTTGTGGTGATGTCAGAAGAGATGGAGAAAGTATACAACAGTTTTCTCAACAACCAAGTTCCCACACTTTGGGCCAATGCAGCATACCCCTCACTGAAGACATTAGGAGGATGGGTAAAGGACCTTGTCCTAAGGATAGCCTTTGTAGACGTAAGTACATTGCTTTATCACTGAAGGATGGGGGGCATTTTTTGTTCTTTTCCTGCAGGACACAGGGCTGTTACTACAAGCATGAATGAGGAGTTGGATCCAAACTGAAGCTTCCTGCCCAAAGGTCACGCAAAATCTTAACATTGAATATATACCTAACATGTCCAGAAAGCCTCTCTAAATGGGAAGTGGGCTGTCATTATCCAAAGGCTGTCCTTGCCTGTTTCTGAAGACTTGATCTGAACCTACCTGTGCTCACCCACACCAATGTGCTACATAAGGAAGGCATTTTGCCTTCAGGGCACTGGAAGGAACATGTGAGGGGAACAGCTTTTGCTAACTAAATGAGATTGGATAATTGGCATTCCCACATGTTAGAATTGTCTTGTGTGTAGGAGCAGGCAAGCCATGTCTGTTCCCTCATTCTGTTTGAGGCTGCTAGCCATGCCCATCATGCTGGATTCCCCCTTCCCCTTCAATAAGACATGCATATTTATTCATGGTTTTCTGGTCTCTACCTCAGATTTGTTGCTCTCACTTTTACCTGAATTTCTGCTTGTAACTGGAGTCACTGGCACTTCAGGGTATTCCAGTGTCCTTAGACTCCCTTATACTCTTAGATTTCCTTTTCCACAAATACTCACCCCTACAAACTTCCCATCAGGAAGCCCAGAAGCTGTGGCATCCTTTCTTCTCTGCTCCCACTGACTGGAATGGGTAAATGTTTGCACTGGAATATGTGGGGTCACACTGGTCCAGGGCACACAAGGTGTAAATTCAGTAGTAGTGGTAGATCCCATGGAGCCTACCTGGTATGTGGCCACTAAGGCATGTGGTCTTCATGGTGTGCAGGGCCTGTGACCAGTATGACATACGGCCTCCAGCTATTCTGAAATTGAATAGCTATCTGTTGGCAGTGTTGTAACTGTAGGGGTAGGATGGCAGGTGGAGGCAATAGGGGCAACTTTCCCCGGTGGCAATTTGGGGGGGGGAGGGGAGGGGAGGGGGGGGAGCGCACATTTTTTGTTCACATTCATGATCATGAACCTGTAGTTGCCATTTCTGCTTTGCTTCAGGCCCCCATCTTCATCCCTTTGCTGCTGGTGGTACCTTGCATGCTTTATAGATATAATGCAAAAGAAAAATATGTTTTACATGACATTTTCCCTCACACCATAACAAAATATTAAATCAACTGTGTATGGTTTGAGTTGTTTTGAAGTGGAATTCTGGTCTTGTGCCTAAACTCAGTTCTGCTTTGTGTAAGTGCAGTTGTTGTCAATATGCTGACTTACAGCAGAGCTGAGTTTGGCCTTTAAGAATAGGTAGTAAAATAGAAATATAGCCAACCTTATAAATAACATTCAATACAATATTCTGTTTTTAGTCATGGCTCAGCATGGGTCAGCCGAAGTCTTTCTGGATCTCTGGTTTCTTTTTTCCTCAAGGATTTCTGACAGGTAAAAAAAAATATGAATGAAAGTAGTCTGCAAAAATAACATGTTGTATTTGCTGTTACTTGCTTTACCAAATAGACCCCCTAGGACTTTCTTCTTCATTTGCACATAGCTAAAAACAGCCCTTTGAGTTACTAGTAGTTCCAGGCGGCTACAGAGTCAGGACCCCCCCTTTGTTTGCTGTACTTCTGACTCCATCACTACTGCACTTTTGCCTGCCTCATGAACCAGCTTCAAGGGGAGACCTGGAGAGGGTGCTCTCATGTAGCCTGGTGGTAGTTAGGGCATTGTCGAGGGAACTGGAAGATGTGTGTTTGAATCCTTTTGGGGCAAGACAGTCCTAGAGCCCATAATTCTGACTTCCTGGGTGCTCTGTCTCTAGTGTGCATGAGTAACCACCAGGGATGATATCAGAGCAGCCTCACTGGCATATATTTGAGTTTGACATATGCAGGTGGAAGTGTGGGGAAAATGTGCAGCTGGATCTTTGCAGGACATGCTGCTATTACGGATGGGATAAATGTAACATTTCAATCTGCCTCTTGCTGTGATGACTAGACACAGTGGAGTGCTGCCTTTCCTGGTCCTGTCCTCTCACTGAAATTCCTGTACAGAGAAGCTGGAGAGGGTCTCTCTCTGGCATAGCTTTGTAGGAAAAGGAAAGAAAGAGGGACAGCAACTAGCATTTTTGTTTCCTTTTGGCAGAGAGCCCAAGATGGCATCAACTTAGCTTGATCCTTCTTTTTAAGGCTCTAACTCTATTAATATCCCAGAAAACTGAAGATGAGAGGAGAGAAAATGCATGTAAATGAATGCAATTACAATTAGACAGACTAGTTTTCAGTAGTCACAAAAAGCCTAGGGAGGAGTGATCATTGTCGCAGTCTATCGTTATTACTGAGAGCATAGTAATTGCTCCATTTCTTTTATTACAGAGTAGTGCTAATAATGGTAACATTAGGATTACTCCCACTTTTCTGTCACTAAAATATCGGGCTTCAAGTACATATGTACATGTATTGTGCCTTTCAGGCATTTCAATATTTTTCATATAACAGACACCATTAAGGGAACATCATCTTAGCTTTCAGTTTTCTCATTTATATATATGGGTAGCAGAGCCAAGCAAAAATCAGAATTTCTACCTCACAGAAAATTTAGACATTTCCACATTTGAATTATCCCAAAGCTTGATGAAAAGTTGAAATATTTTCCGTTTTTTCAGAACAAAAGTTCTGAAAAATGTCAGTTGACTACAGAAAGCATTCTGGTATTCCTGAACCAATGTATGTCATTTTGGTTTGTTGAACCGACTTGAGGCATTTTGCTACTTGAGGCACTAGGCTACATCCCCCAAAGGTGGCAAGTTTGCACATAACCATCGGGCACAATGCACAGAACTTCAAAAATACCCTTTAACTTGCCATAGGTAGAGCAGGCAGACAAGGGCACTGTCAATGTCCTGCCACTGCAAGGACAGGAAGTTGTGTTAAAATACTCCCAGGAGATCTAAGGAAGAAGACCATGCTCCCCACTACAGAGGAAGGTGAAAAGCCCCACTGTCCATGCCAATATGACTGTGAGGTAAAATTCCTTCCCAGTTCCAAATGTGGTAACTGGTCTGACCCTGAGTGGAAGAGGTACGTCTTTAGCCAGGAAACCCTGGATATTTTAAGTCCCAGAAGGAGCATCAGCATACACCAGTCAAAATCCCCAGCATTGGCTGTGGCGAATACCAATGATTGTAAAGAAGGCAAAACAATTTTAAAATATTCTGACACCTGTAGTAATAAGAAGAGAAAAAAATCCCCCTTGCTCCTCCGTGGTGACCAGATAACCAGACATCCTCCACTCTGCACTGCAACCTGCAGACACAAACTCCACAAATCACACACCCTGACAGGAGAATCCAAAACTCCCTTTTCTATCTTCCTAGCCCCTCCATAAATTTATTCTAACCCCTTTCATCTTATTTTATAAGGAACCTAGTTGTGGAGCTCTGCTTCATTCTCCTGCTGCTAAGTGCAGTCCTCTCCAATTTCCACTTGCTCTGGACTGCACAACTCCTCTCCGTTCTCCAAGTGTTTGTGGGGATCTCCTGGGGTTGCAGCTCTTGCTTTTCACAGCACACTCCAGGCATTGTTATTCCTAAATTAGCCCTGACCAATACTTATCAAGCCTCTTCTTGAAAACACCACTTTCCTTTATGGCAGTCTTTAGAACTGACCTAAAATTAATATTTTTTTTAAAGATTTTTTCCAATGGAAAATCAAAAACATTTAACACACTATTTTCTAATAGAAAACATTATTTTTCAGAAAATTCTTTTTTTTCACAGTAAGCAGACAGAAAATTCAAAGGCAGTTCTAAAGATAGCAAAATATTGACTTGTTTCAATTTTATTCTAATGGCCATGCAGGTATCTCTGTTCCATGAATGAGATGTGTGCTTTTCCTCTCTTTCCCCCCGCCCCCTTTTAAATATTGGTTTAGAGTATATCTTTTTTTTCAAATTTGCCAGGAACTCTTCAGAATCATGCTCGGAAATACAATTTGCCAATAGATGAGCTCAGTTTCAGCTACAATGTTATCCCTGTTTATCGAGACCAAGCACACGTTACAGAAGCATTAAAAATGAGCCAATTCGGGCAAGAATTACCTATGGATATGGAGGTACTTTTGAAATTTAATAGCACTAAAAAATAAAAGACTGTATTTTTTATTTGTTAGGTATTTGTCAAAAAATGGCATTGATACTACATAAAATCATATTTCTGTATATTACTAAACTTCAGGCTTTATGTCATGATTCCCCTAAAGCTTATGAAAAAACAAATGTGAAATTTTTTCACAGTACATTTTTCCACAGTCTTGTTTAAAAGTTTCTGAATCTTTATGTTTCCCCTCCCCCAAGGAGGAAGGCTCTTTCCAAGCAAGATGCTTCATCCCTCTTTGAACCTTTGGTTCTTTTTTGTTTGTATTTGTAACATTTTGCTCATTCTTTTTCATTTGCTGATGTTTATGCCAGTTACCCTCTCCTGAAGATGGTGTATTGGTTCATGGGATGTTCATGGATGCTAGTCGCTGGGATGATGAAGAGATGGTTATAGAGGATGCTTTGCCTAGGCAAATGAATCCTATGTTGCCAGTGGTGCATTTTGAACCCCAACGAAATTATGAACCAAGTCCGTCTCTGTATCAGTCACCACTCTATAAAACTGGAGCCAGAGCAGGAACTCTCTCCACCACAGGTAAATAACTGTTTCTTTAAAATGACATTTTCTTACCAAATCTTAGTTTCATAGTTTCTAGGGTCAGAAGGGACCTGAACAGATCATCAAGTCCGACCCCCTGCCCTGGGCAGGAACGAGTGCTGGGATCATAATACCCCAGCCAGATATCTATCCAACCTTCTCTTGAAGACCCCCAAGGTAGGGGAGAGCACCCCCTCCCATGGGAGCCCATTCTAGAGCCTGGCAGCCATAACCGTAAAGTTCTCAGTCAATTTGTGGCCGTTATTCCTTGTTATCACAGGTGGTGCCTGGGGGAACAGAGCCTCACCTATTTTCCTCTGGTCCCCCCAGTGAGTTTATAGATGGCCACCAGATCCCCTCTCAGTCTTCTCTTGTGGAAGCTGAATAGATTCAGGCCCTTTAGTCTATTTTTGTAGGGCCTGGCCTGCTGCCCCCTGACCATGCAAGTGGCCCTCCTTTGGACCCTCTCAAGTTTAGCCACATCCCTCTTGAAGTGCGGTGCCCAGAACTGGACTCAGTACTCCAACGGCAGCCTAACCAACGCCGCATAGAGGGGAAGGATCACCCTGGACCTGCTTGTGATGCACTGTAGATGCACAGCAAGGTGCGGTTAGCCTTACTGCTTCCTCACATTGGCAGCTCATGTCCATCCTGGAGTCAACAATGACCCCAAGATCCCTTTCAGCCATTGTGTTAACAAGAAGGGTATTCCCCCGCCTATAGGTGTGTTGCAGGTTCCTTCTGCCTAGATGCAGCACCTTGCACTTGTCTGCATTAAATTCCATCCTATTCTCATCCACCCACTTCTGTAACCTGTCTAGATCTAGCTGGATTCTGTCCCTCCCCTCCAGCGTGCCCACTTCTCCCCACATCTGTGTGTCATCAGCGAATTTGGACAGCGTGCTTTCCACACCCACCTCCAAGTCGCTAATAAAGATGTTTAGTTCCCCAGGACCAAGCCCTGGGGAACTCCACTGCCTACATCCCTCCAGGTCAAAAATGACCTGTCCACCACCACTCTCTGGGTGTGACCATCGAGCCAATTTGCCACCCATCTGACTGCGCAGGCATCAATGCCGCCGTCGCCTAGTTGTTTATTTTATAATAATGGGGTGAGAAACAGTGTCAAAGGTCTTCTTGAAGTCCAGATAGACAACATCCACCTCAACACCCACATCCAAGGACTTTGTGACCTGGTTGTAAAAGGAAACAAGGTTAATCAGGCAGGATCTGCCCACAGTGAACCCGTGTTGGTTGCCCCTGAGCATTACCACCCATGCCGGGCCCCTGCAGATGTGTCATCTGGTACATATATTATGGAGAGCCTGACTATTTGAGTGGTCAGACCCAAACTTGTCCTGGAATATTTGGTAAAAATTATGTCCATGGGTGATTCAAAAGGAAATATGCCCTAAATTTGTGGTAGGAGTTCTTACTTGACCTTTTGATTGTTTATCACAACAATTTGGTTTTTCCTTTTATGTTATTTTTTTGGATGAGTCCTGGGGCAGATGTGGAATTGCTATAAAATAATCTAAGAAGACTGAAGCAGAAGAGATGCACCAGTCCTGTTGGAATGACTGAAAGCAGCTGAAGCTCTCCCTGGCTCCCTTGTAGCATGCCCATGTTCAGTCTTAGGGAAATACTGGGAAACACTTACTGTTTTTGGATCTGTTCTCTGAAATTTTCTTGTTCCAAATAAATAATTCAGTCACCAGAATCCTCATTAGGAAAGATTTAAAGCTGTTCAGACCTTAAACTCTTTCAAAAATGCAAACCTATGAAAGAGGGTATTGACACTTAAGGTATTTCATACTCAAATCTCTGAAAACCAGGAAATACTGAGTCAATGTACACAGAGCCTTAACTCGGCCCCCACCATCCCAAAGTTGGCAGTAGCCAAAAGGAATTTTTTGCAAATGCTTTGACCACATCTACTGATTGGTGTGTGTCTACTGAAAAATGAAGGTATTAGTAGTTGGAGCAACTTGGCAGAGTTTAATTGGCATGTATTGGCAGAGCACCATCCCATGAGTGCTCTTGTACCCAACCTCAATGTGTGATCAAAGCAAAGAGATGCATATGTCCCTTCAGGGATCCAATACGCCTCATTTCAATGCTGCATTGTATGGGTTGTGTCAGCACTGAAGACCTAAGGTCTGCTTGCCATGGCAGTTAGAAAGGAGATAATTGGAGTTTCTAGATTTAATAATGGGTAAATGAAAGTATAATGTTTCATGGTACCAGGTACATAAGTGTGAAAGGATGACAAATCACTGGCAAACTTAATTTTTTGTTAATTCAGTTCAATTTTTAATTTTTGTCATAAATTTGATATAATTTTTTATTAATAAAAAAAATCAGGGTTTCTGTTGGCATTAGTGATCCTGCACAGTTTGCACTTGAGGTGAGACAGAGGCAAGGGGAAAGTAAAAGATCATATATAATTATTAATGTTTTTCCCGTTTTTTGTGACAGTGATTGCGACAATGGGGCTTGTGGTCATACATGAAATAGCAGATTGTGTAGTTGCTAGCAGGTGAATGAGAGATTACAGACATGGTCTGTGTCCTCAAATCTTGTCTGTTTTCTAACACCATGGGCACAGTAACTTTATGCATGTGGAAGGCAACTTGTATGCATCTTTTCTTCCCTGCTCCCCATCCAACCATCCTTCACAAGAGATAGCTCCCATGTCACCACACTCAAGGCTTAGCAATATGTATGTGGTTCATGCTTTCAACTCTCCATACAGAGGAATAAATATGTACTTAAAAGGACAGAGCCACCAGATTGCAGTTCATATGGTCAGCAAGGGGAGTAACTTAGACACTGACAGAGGGACAAAGACCCCTCTCTCCCAAAAACTACTTTAAATGAAGGAGATAGGGTGAGAGAGAGAATCAGTCCCTCTGTAACCAAATTCATGCTCCAGGGGTCGCTGGAGCGCCTCCTGCTGGCCATGCAACCTGTACACTGCTCCAGATCTATGGTGCTCTCCCCTTCTCACTCACCTGCCATGCCTTTGGTATAATTATTTGATTGGAAGGGAGGCTGCCTAATGGGTCCTACAGTGAGCCCCAGTTCCTCTGATAGCCAGCAGGTCCCTCCTGGACTCTGCTGGTCTCAATCCTGTCCTTGTTGAGTGGGCACTCTCGGCCTGTCCATGCCCCAGGGCACCTGTAAGCCTTAAGGGCTAATTACATGGCTCTGACTACCCCTTATATCATGCCTATGCCTTGCATGTGTCACTGTACCATCACTCAGGTGAGACACTGGTTCCCCAAAGCCATCAGGCAACCTCACCTTGCTGAGGCTTCTGTCTTCCCAGCTTCTGCCCCTTGACTTTAGTTGATCCCTTAGCCAAGGCCCACTGTCCTAGAGGCTTCTGGGCTCCAGCCCTAGTCACACCCTATCAGGCTTTAGCTTAGCCCCTCTTGGGCTTCAGGCCCCTGGCCCTGGCTCTCGCCCTTCTTAGGCCTTGGTTCTGCCCTTCTCAGGCTTCAGGCCCCTGGCTCTATCTCAGCCTCTCTCAGGCACTGAGCCTGCTTCAGCTTTTGCTGGACCCTTGGCCACTATTTCCACCCTTCTTGGGGCTCTGGGCCCTCTGGCCCCAGTTTGTACCTTGAGCCTCACCCCTGGCAGGGCTCAAGGTAGTCACATGCCTTTTAGGCACTCCACGGTGGATTAAATCCCCAGGCACCCTGCCATGAGTTAAACCACCAGGCACCCCACTGTGGCCTCTGCTTCCCCCCCTGTAACCCAGGAATAAGCCTTCTGGCAGATACAAGCTAAGACCTCTCTAGGTCCAAACATGTACAATGGCGACCTGCCTGCATACCAGGTACTATTCCCCTGTGGGGCATCTGCACTGTCTCAAGTATTTGCTCAGGTGCTACTAGGGTGCTAGACACTGAACTGACTGTTTTGATACACATGCATCATGATTTTTAACTCCTTATAATATCATGATGATCATGATTGATCAGTTCATATATCTGGTACTATACTGATTAAACTAATGATGCTGAAACTTAATATGTTTTCATTAACAAGCTGTGTTTCATGCCATTGATCCTATTGCCTTCATTTATGTGCCAGAGATGCAGAAGTAATCATGGTCTGTGGCAATGATTGTATGCCTGATTTCTATAATATGTCTGAACGAGAGGTGTCAAGGCTATCTGAAATGATGCCTGAAAGTATTTGCCCATCTTCAAAAAGTGGGACACCTGTTGTAGACTGGGATCAGCTGGAGTCATAGGATTTATACCTGTGTAAATCTTAGTATGTGAGATCCAGTGTTAGATGACCCTGGCTTTGTTCATGAGCAGAGATATCTGGCTTCCTTAGCAAGCACCTTCTTATTACATTGAAATTAGGGGTTGATATATGTATTTTTTTCTTTTTTGTTTCCAGTGTCATAAAAAGATAAAGAGAAAACTTACGCTCTTCTGATATTTCTAAATTGAGTTTATAATTTTGAATTAGACTTAAAATTTTGAGGATGCTCTCCAGGCTAGCCGTTAGAAGTTATTTTCACACTGATAACTCATCCGAGACCTTGTAACTCAGATTCATGGTTGGATTTTTCATGCAGTTCAGAAGTGTTTCCAAATTTTATATCTTGCATTGTGAAATTCATAGGGCTGGATACTGAATCCGGGAGCAGGGCCGGGGTTGGAATTGCAGGGCCATGGCAGTGAAGGGCTGGGGACTGGGGCAGAGCCGCGATCTACTTCCCGCACACCCCTGCCTGTGGAACCAGCGTCCGTCACAGGGGTTTGTAGGGAGCAGATCGTGGCTCTGCCCTGGGCCCCTGTCATGGCCCCATGATTCCAGCCCTGGCCTTGCCTGCCCCTCCCACCCCCAGATGCTGCTACCTGCCCAGCTGTGGCCCCATCCCACCCTCACTCTTCTCCCCTTTTACTGTAACCTAGAGAGTTTCAGCAAGTCTATCGCCCACTTTGTTCTGCACCTCAGAGCAGGTACAGGTATCTTTAATATACAAAGCAATGCTTCCATCTTTTTTCCATGTCTATCCTTTCTGAATAAGTTATATCCATCCTTGACCACATTCCAGTCATGCACATTATCCCACCTAAACTTCAGTTATTCTAATTACATCTTAATCATGTATGTATCAGTTTTAGTTTTGAATGTTACCCTGGTTTGGAGGTTTAATATTACATTGGATGCACATTGCAGTAGAAATAGTAACAGTTTTTATCTCTCCCTTTTCCAACTAGGTCATTCTACCAATTTTGTGGTAACAGTACTATTACCCTCAAAAAGACCAAGTGACTACTGGATATCAAAAGGAGCTGCCTTGCTTTGCCAGCTGAATGAATAAGCAGGATGTGGATACAACACAGGAGGGGATTTGTATATATTGCATTCAGTGTATACCCAAAACCCATTTTAGTATTATGACAGCCCTAAACCAAAGACATAAGTAAGGACTGGACTCTTGACAATATAATAGAATGAAATACCAATCTATTCATTGTCTTTTCTGTTTGTCTTAGACTTTATGAAATAAAATATAGCTTGATGTTAGTTTTTCATTGCTGTTTAGGCCAGTACTTATCCTCTAACTTCTCCTATGATTTGTGTACCTCTGCTTTAACTAAAAATACTGTTCTATGATATTTTTGTGTTTCATATAAAGAAACACATTTTGCATCAGGATGGTAGGTTATTGTGACCATTGTGGTTTACTTTCACCTTTTATGCTTTGTTTCACTGGAGATTGCTGATGACAACACACATCTTCAATTAAAAAGATTAATGATCCTTAAATGAATGATTCTGTGGGTCATTTAGGGCCAGATTCAGTTGGCTCACAGACACCTACATTTAGGCAGCAGGATTTGTATATGGGCAAGGGGGTTATGTTTACTGTATTTACCATATTTACTCAAATCTAAGATGACCATGAATTTAAGATTACCCCCCCCCTAGATTCTATACATGGAAGATCTATACATTTGTTGTTATCATGGGGCCCCGTATAATCTAATTATTGGAGGGTTGTCTTTAATTTATCCTTCCTACCACTGCAGGGGGGCAGGCAGTAAGGGGACAGGCAGTAGTAGGCGGTCAAGTAGCTTGCCCCCTGCTTGTACCTCTTCCCCCAATCTGCTCCAGCTCTGCTTCAAGCCCCCTTTCCCCCTCTGCCTCTGATCCTCCTCCTTCCCGTCCCCCTCTCCTTCCCCTCCCCCTTCTTCCTAGATTCTGCTCCTTCCTCCCTCCTTCCCTCCAGCCTCTGCTTCCCATCACCCCCTCCCCCCCACCCCAACCATTGTGCCAGCAAGCTCTGTCCACACTGCAGCCTGGGGCACTGAACCCAGAGCACAGCCCCTGCCCAACCCCCTGTAGAAGCCATGAGGGCCACGTGCTGCTGCTGTGGGGCCAGGCTGGGGACTTGCTCAGTGCCCCAGGTTGCAGCATGCATAGAGCCTGCAGGTGCAAGCAAGGGTAAGGGAGAGAGTAGGTGGGGGAACAGAGGCTGCGTTAGGCAGGAGGGGGAGATGTGGGGTGTGCAGAGGTAGTGGGAAAGGGAAGAGGAGCAGGCAGCAGCTGCGGCTAAGCCCCAATCCCAGGTAGAGACTAGAGCCCAAGCCATTGTAGTCGCCCTTCTCACCCTCCCCAACCCCCTTACCCCCATTCTTGTACATGATTCTAAGACAGGGACGGGCAATTATTTTGAGCAGAGGGCCACTTACCAAGTTTTGGCAAGCTGTCAAGGGCCATGTTTCCCCCTTTGGCACAGGGAAGCAGGAACAGTGCCACAGTCCCAGGCCAGAAGCCTCCGCTAGGCAGGGGCTTCTGGTTAGGGGGGTAGGGCTGGGCAGGCCTTGCTGCTGCATCCTGCCGCCACCTTCCCCTGGGTCCTACTACCCCTGGCTCCTGTCATCTTTGACAGGCAGCCAGGAGCAAATAAATATTTATTTTTAATTTTTTTAGGGGCCCTGCGGGCCAGATAGAACAGCCTGGCAGGCTGGATCCAGCCCCCAGACCATATTTTGCCCACCCCTGTTCTAAGATGAGGGTTTTTTCCCCTTATGTTAAATGAGAAAAAAAACACCTCATCATAGAATTGAGTAAACCAAGGATCCCTTTATAGCCAGTTGGGAGACTTGAGTGTCTCTGATGAGGGATGCAATTTGACTGTGCTTAGGTGCCTATCTCCTCTGCAGAGAATGGGAGAAGTGCATGCTTCCAAAGGGTGGTCCAGAGAGCTTGGAGGTGCCTAGAGCTCACCAATAGGAGACATTACTGCAATTCCACCCCTCAGACAACCATAGTTGGACAACAAGAGGCAGGGTGACATGTTTGTAAGAATGCAGGTAGGGTGGCCCACGTGGAAGAAGAGTGAATGTTTTATGCCATTACTTGGGAACTCTCAAAGAACAAGGAAAGGGATGCACACAAGGCTGTTTCTGTCAGTTCCTGCAGGATTTCATATTAGCATGGACTGTTTCCTGAACTCCATCCCTAAGAGTAAACCAGCCAAAATAGACAGGGGTATTGTCAGCTTACGAAAATCGTATCTGAAAGCAGTCTGGGTAAAAGTCAAGGACACCAAGGTATCCAGAAGCTACTACAGCTGCTTCAACACTCTCAGCTCTCTCAAATATCTTCTCCACTGAGACACAATATACTAAATGGTAATAGGCAAAATGTTAACACATGAGATTGTTCCTTGAACAAGCAGCTTCTCCACTGCCTATTTAGATGGAGTTGGACTGATGGTAACCATGGTGGTCCAGAAAGTACATGAGAAACAAGGTTCTCTGGTGCTACCTTTTTACTGGACCAATTGCATAATTGGGAGAGATGTTAGATGAGTACCTGTGGAGTTCTGAGAGGTTAGAAGATATAGCAGTTAATTACAGTGAGTCATAAAACTATCATCCATGTTGAGTTCATGGTATTGTTCAATAAATTTATGAATTCCCCAAGATGGGTTCAGGAACAAAAATTCATAATTTACTAGCCACTATACACCATGCTAAACATAGATGATGACTCATAATCTAACTGGCATCTCTTCTAATCTCTCAGTACGCCATAGGTAATAATGATCCTTTTCCCTTCTGAATGGTTTTGTTCTTTTACATAATTAGGTTATCTATTCAGCTAAACTTCTCTGCCTTTGAAGCTACTTCTGATATCTTGCCTTTGCTTCTAATTTGCAGGCCTCCTCCAATCCTTTAAGTGTCTTTTTTTCTTGTACATGTGGAGCTAACAAAAGCCATTGGTTTATGTGGTATTTAGCTGAGGCTGTACCTGCTTCTTTCCTAGACATGAAGAAGGGTATTTTATGTTCAAAGCTCATCTAACATTTCTCTTAACTATACAGGTAATCCAAAAACAGATATCACACAAAAAATCCTTGCTTCTTGCATATAAGTAGAAGTTGTTAAAGTCCTCCGGAAGGATCCCATGGTATCCCTATTACTCGCCAGCAGCAGTATTGGAAGGGTGCAGTTCATGGTTGTAGGAAAGAATTATTTTCAACATACCTAGGACCCCTTTAAGGGAACACAGTCTGGAAGTTAGGTAAGAAAGACAGTGGATTCTTGCTCCTGTTACTTATCAGGAAAATAAATTAAGTATCTCAAAGACATACTAGGAAAGGTCCCCACCCCAGAGAAATTAATAGCACCAGATGGTAGAATGTTTAATCATGATGTGAGGCAGACAAGACTCTTTGGGTAAATCTGATATATCAAATTTATGACCAACTAAAACTGCAGATGCTCCCTCTGCCTGAGGAAAGGTGTTTGTACCCAAAAGAAGAATTTTTCCAACTATTTTAGTTGATGTAATAAAAGATATGAGATTTACCCGAAGAACCTTGTCTGCCTACGTCCTTAGCTACAACACCTCTAACCATGATGTGAAGAACTCATCCTCTGGTGTGAACAGTCCAGTGGCCCCCTTTGTGTCCACATGACCAGTTGTATAATCTGCTGGTAGATTAAAATCCCAACAAGAGAGCCAAGCAACTGTATTATGGCGAAGGTTTCATTACAAGATAGATAGAAGCCTGTGATAAGAGGCCTTTTACCATCATACACCAATGGACTGATTTAACAATTACTCTTTATTAATGTTTAAACATTGCATTATAATATTTAATAACAGCAAATTGGTACATGTAAACACAAAAGTAGGCTATGTCAAAGTGTAGCTAAAAAAAATAAATTTTGCTTTTACACAATTCTTTTAACAAGACTGCTGTGGCCATGTTTGAAAGTAGATCATACAAACAGAACTGAGCAAAGAATAAAGATATAGCACTGCAAGACAAAACTCTGAATTCTAACAGTGAAGTCCTGGCCTCCAACTGAAATAAGTGGCATTCCTCCCATGGACTTTACTGAAGCTGTATTTAAATGGCAGCTGTAATTCAAAATCATTAGAGATGTTTCAATTTAAGCACAAAGCCAGCACCACAGCAACAGCTGAACAGCAAGAGGAGGCTGCGGCAGGCTCATGTAGAATCTATGCACGTGCCTGAATGGGTACCAAATTTTCTGTTTTCTTTCAACAACCAATCTTACATGCATTTAAAAAAAAGACTTTAAAATCTTAGCAAAAATACATTATGTCAACATATTTACTGGAAAAAAAATTTAGTCACAGAATTAGTAAAAGCTAACACAATTGTAGTATATTTCACTAAAGGCATTATACAGCAATACCAGAGTGCAGAGTGATCACTGCCAATCTGAGAAATGCACAGCACAGCCATAATAAACAAAGATGCTAAAATGTAAAGATACCAAAAATGACAGTTTACTAAAGAACCGGTTAATCTGAGTGATTTGTCAAAGTAGCTGTTAAAGAGTAGCTAAATTTCTACTAGTGTTTTCTTAGCAGCACACACACACTAGTGTAAAGTTGTAACAAATATTCTGTAGTTTAGGTTCTCAACTATCTCAATTGTCACAGATTATGACATTATTACAGGTAGACACAGTCTAAGAAATAAATAACAGAGCCCAGTGTTTTATATTATTCAGTAATTATAATCACTACCATTAGGGATAATCAGCTTCTGAAACTAATTTCAACTTCCTTCTATGTAAGTTAGCTCATAAAAGTACACTTCTCTGTTTCAAATTACTTCATTTAGTAAAGTTAATGGCAACGCTTATTTGGAAATGGCATTTCTTTCACTGTGTTCATCTCAGAGCTTTATGTAAAATCCTTTGAAACAGCTTCTATGAAATTTGGAGCAGACATTAGTACTGTAAATGTGCAGATGATTGCAAACAATGAAAATGCAACCAAGCATAATCTGTCTATAACAGCAGCTGCAAACTTCCACTCACTACAGATTTCTTCACCCTCATCTTGTTTTCTGAAGCGCATTGCAATGAACTGAACTTCTTCCAGGATTTTGACAATCACTGGGATAGTATCCATTAAAGCCCTCTTTTGAACAAGCTCAATATCTTCCGTGGAGGAGCAAGTGACCTTTCCATACTTGCCTCCTAAATCGCTGTTTTGTGGGCAGCAAGGATTTTCCATGGCATGATAGCTGTAGATTATGTTGCCATTGCTAGATGGGTGCCCAGGTAAAACGTTCATCTCAACACTGCTAATGCTTGAATCTTGCTTGTAGTAGCTGTACTTGCAAGAGAGGGGCTTTATGTTTTCTCCAGGTTTTCTCATTCTTAAAAACCAAGCACACCAGTTCAGCAGAACAACACGAACCTGAAACACAGCAAGAAATGACGATAATATAGATAAAGTACAATCCTGTTCTGTAAGTGGTCCCAACGCACTGCACATTAGCAGATGTAGGTAATAGCAGCTATTGCTATGGTACCTGAGCATTACATTGAAAGAAGTATTTTTGCTTGTTTTGTACTTTTTCAAACTTGCCTCTCAAAGTGAAATGTTTCATGCATGATCTCTTTCTGAAAATGTTTGTTTTTTCTGAGGTGGGGGTGAGTAGTACGAGGACGTAAGGTAAGTGGGCTAAGTCCCAGCCTGCAGTTCTGGTTGGGAACACTGGAAGGTGGTGGGGTGAGGTGCGTATGTCACTGGGTCCAGTTCCCTAAGTAGGACATCAATATGCCCTTTTCACCTCAGGGCCAGATGGCAGTCTGGGCCAGACAACAGGGCTCAGAGACTGTTCTTGGATTGGTTCCCCATGACATAATGCTTCATTGTATCATCGTTCAAAGGTAGGTCAGGGAGAAAAGGTCCCAGGAGAGGCTGGGAGAAGGCCCCGGGGTGGACTGGGAGTAAAGGAATGGTCCCAGGGAGGACAGAGTAAAGTTAGAGTGAGGACAGAGGGAACTGAAATGGCACAATGAAAACTGTTTTGGAGCAGCCTGTTTTGCTGTGTTGGAGACAATCGGCATTCTGACACCCCTCTTTAAAAGAAAAAAAACACCCTCTCCTTCCCAGGAGCTGACCAAAAAGGAGCCTCAGAGATGGGGGTGCTACAGGTCATAGTGGAAGCCAGGGACTAAGAAAAGCCAGGGTCCCAAAGCCAGAGGCTGTCTCCTTGTGAATCCATGATAGGGCTGGCTGCAGGGGGTCCTTTCAGGAGAGGGAAAACAAGTAAGGCTGCTTCTTGGGGTGTCCTGAGGAACAGCTTTCCCTTTCCCCTCTGAAAGGGGCAGTTTGATCTTTTTGTGACAGGGAGGAAATATATTTCTACCAAAAGTTCCGTCTGTTTTGAGAGCATGAGTCAAAATTTAGTCTACAAAGCAATTCTCGTGCTTTTTGGGAAGCATTCCAGGGTGGGCAGAAAGAATCAATGATGTTCACAACTACCAGTGAGATGTTATGCCTAAAAGATTTTGGGAAGTAATGAAAATGCTTGTTGTAAAAGGTTTCTGACTCAGGCTGCTTAGAGCAGTGATTCTCAACCGGGGTGCCACAAGGTGCGGCTCAATATTAGATGTGCAAACAGCTGCACATCATTCATGAGATAAACCAAGAGATTCCAAATAGGAGTCCACAGTGGGCACGTTTACATGAGATGCTTTATTGCTCAGTACGCTAATCGACTGCACAGTAAAGCATCACCATGTAACCATGTAAATTAGTCTACTGCACAGTTGGCTAGTGCCTGTAAATACAGGTATTAGATTACCTGCACATTAGTTACTGTGCAGTAGTGCTCATGTAGACGCTGACCAGGATAAAATTTGCTTCCAGTCAGCCACACCAGCAGGGGGCCTAGTCCTGGTGCTGCTCAGGTACTGGCTCTCGCCAGGAACCAATCAGCATCAGGATGGAGTCGCAAATGTGCACGGGGCCAGGAGACAGCTGCCGCTGCAGCTGGCAGAGCTCTCCTGGCCCTGTGCACATCGGGATTAGCCCCATACCCCTGGCCATCCCCTGGGCTAGCACCCCGGGGGGAGCCTGGAACTCCTCCTGACTGATGCAGGGGGGGCAGAGCAGGGCAGGAGCAGATTTTCTCCCAACAGGGTGCACATGTAGTCATGCCCCTGGGAAGTAAAATACTGTGCAGTAAGCCGATAGCACATTAACAGAACATACAGATGCTCTCAGTGTCAAGAATATTCTGACCTGTTGTGGTCTTTCTGAGTTCTTTGCCACAGAAGAATTAGTTTGTTATTTTTTTGTAGTAAAAAAAGGGAAAGCTAAGGTCTGGCATATTCTAAAGAGGTGCCTTGAGTCTAAAAATGGGTCCCTCCACTGTAACAAGGTGTGTCTTAAGTCCAAAAAAAGGTTGAGAACCACTGGCCTAAAACTTTCCAAACAGGCAATTTTTTTCACTGTCTTCTAAACAAATTCATTAGCTGCCTCCACACTAGTGGAAATGTTTGTTTCCCCGGGGACAAGTAGCAGTGGCACACTTTGTGCTGACCCCAGCAGCCTCAGGCAGCTGCAGGGAGCCTCAGGGAGCTGCAGCCCCAATGCTCCTGCAGCTGGCAGCCTGGCCCTCAGCTGGAGCATGGCTCCAGCCAGCTAGTCTCTGGTTTGGGGCAGCATGGGCTACTACCAAATGCACTACCCTGCTTTTTTTCTGTCATGGGTTTTTTTGACTCTGGGATCTCCCGGGATCAACCTCACCCCCACCCCGTGCTGCCAGGTAGCAGCGTGGGGCACGCCTGCATGTGCAGTGTGTGCAGAGGGGTCTGTGACACCACATACCACGCATCCATGCTCATCTAGATGTGGCCATTGTGTTAATTGAAAGCCATTTTAATCCTTTCACAAGGAGTTAAAAAGAAAACCCACCACAGGCATTCCTTATTAAAAAGCCAAATAAATTTAAAACAGTTCAAAATCTAAACCTTTTTCAGAGGAAATGGTGCAAACACAGGTGTTATTTTCTCATACTCTGGTACACGGTCCATGATAACTGTCTAACCTGAATATGAGAGTCTACTGTGTATACGATTGTTGTCAAGACTGTGAAATGAATTAATACAAGAGGATGTACCTTATTTTTCCCCTCAAATTAATCTGTAGAGCTCTTATCTGAACCCCTGGCAGACAGGAATTCTGTTGGTTGGTATAGATTGCTGTAACCACAGCAAGGTAAATCAATTAAATACTGTATCTGTAAAATGTCCAGATTATTCCTTCAGAGAGTATGTGTTCAGGAATGGATTGCCCTTTATGGAGAACCTGTGAAAGTCACTTTTAAAAGGTAAGAAACCACTTGCATTTTTCATTGTGGTTGTAGAAAAACAGTCCCCAAATGACAGACAACTAAATTGATGCAAACTTACTTGAACCTACACAGCTCTTACCACCATTTAGAACAGTGGCTCCCAACCTTTTTGTTGCTGTGACCCTAAATCTAGGTCACGACTCCTGCCCCTGCCACCGACTCACTCATGCCTGGCAGTGCCAGAAGAGCCTGGGCTGGGATCTCAGGGGGCAGCAGTGGCAAGAGCCACGTGGACCGTGCACCAGGAGAGCCCCGGAGGTGGGAGGGCCGGAGTGAGGAGTGGACCCCCCATAATCCTGATTCGGGTTGCAACCTGCAGTTGGGAGCCACTGATTTAGGAGGTTACAGTACAAGGGTATGAAATGCCCTTGTGAGAGGTGCAATGCCCTGAAATCATGGAATATTAAAATATTATTTTATTAACTTCATAAATGTTAGATGCAGCTTTATGGGTCTGCTGGTGATTATATTCCAGGCTGAAGGGTCCAGGATGCTTCTTGAAGGTGCTAAAGGAAATAGGAGGGGAGAATTAATTCAAGTCCCCCATGTGTAAACAACATAGGTGTGACAGGACCATTAACACGCCTGGCACTTTAAGAGGGGAAGAGGCCGCATGAGAAGCAGCCTGCAGGTGTGGCAGGGACCAATTAGAGTGTCACCTGACCAGAAGGGGGCTGGGCTTGAAGTATATAAACCCAGGGCCTGAGCCACTCAGGCAGCCTAGCTCTGAGGGCCATGGAGAGAGGAGCTCCTGGGCAGGAGGGCTCCTAGGTAACATCTGAGCTGGGGTAAACAACTCTGGAGGTTTGTGGCTGGGACTAAAGGATGGTGGAGGTCCCAACAGGCCTAGGAATGAAGAGACCTGTGAGCAAGGGCTGGTGACCCCATAGCTCAGTGGGGGCAAAAACAGGCCTGGGAATAGAGGGGCCTGGGAAGTACGGCTAGAGAGGCTGTAGCCTGTGGAGGAGCAGAGCAGAGAACTGAAGAGCTGGGAAGCAAGGAGGCCAGGATGCCTGTGGTCTCACCTGTCCTAGAAGTGGGCCAAAGTCTAGGGAGACTAAGAGTCAAGGACTACTGCCAGAGACCGAGGGGGTCAGTAGACCCATAGCCCAAAAATATAGGGCAAGGGAGCCCAAAGAACAGGGCCAGAGGCCCAAAGCTCAGGAGGGGCGGAGACAGGAGCCTGAGAGGGTAGGACACGGTGCTCGGAAGTACTGCACAGAGGCAAAGTGCCTGAGTGGGGAGCACAGGCTGAGATGTTGTGCTCAGGACTAGCCATCAGAGGCAAAGTGCCCAGGTGGAGAAGGCAAGCCTGGAGGCTACATCTGGGAGTATAGCCAAGCTAGGCAAAGTGTCTGGGCAGAGAGGCCCAGTCACAGGGACAGAGGCCATGGCCCAAGGCGGCTGATGATGGATGTGATTGACAACACCTGCAAGGCACGGGTGTGGTGTAAGGGGGTGAAGTTTCATGTCCTGGAAGGAAATGTACTTCAAGTGATTCGACCTGGCTCAAAGGCCTCAGCTGACAAAGGACTGGAAACTGCAAAATAAAATTTCTCCTGAGGTGGGGAAAGGAAGGGGTGCACTCTAGTTAAAAACTGACAGGCTTGACGCTGTACAGATAGACTTCACAAAAAAAACACAAAGTACATTAGATCTGCCAGGATCTCCAGGTGACCTGGTAAGCTTAGAATACAGAGATACTGATTGTTGTTTTCAAGATCTGTTTTCCCTGAAATGCTTTTGTTCTGAGCCAAATAAGACATTTGGCTAACTGGATAGTCCTGAGAGAACAGCCCAACACATGTTAGATGACACACATGCTGAAGTAAACACAGGATTCTGGCCCAAGAAAGGTGACAGCTGGTGGCCCGAAATCCAACTGGGTTGCCTATAAAGAAACTCCAAGATGATCCAAGGTGCAGTTAACACAAGGAATCAAAGCACTGGAAGTCACCTATCTGCACACTTCCTGAAGGAATCCCTTTAGAGATTGGTCATCTTTTTCACTGAGGTCACTTCTAAAATGTTGGTACAGGATTTGCCAGGT